AGGGGGAGGTGGTGGGTGAGGGCGGCGATGTATCCCACCGATGAACTTTTTTCCAATATTTTAAATAATATTTTAAATAAATTATTGATATTTTTATAGAGAAAATAATGAGAAAAATAATATATTTTTTTTTTATAATCTGCAGATAAAATATTAATATCTATTCACAATTTTCGATACCAAAATTATTATTTTTCTTATTATAAAAACAATATAAACTTTGATTGATAATTACTTATTAAAAAGGAAATATATTTGTATGAATAAAATAAGAATTAAATTAATATTTAACAGTTCAATCTTAATTATAACATTAGTATCAGAAAGTTCTTACTATATCTACCTATAAGTTATAACTTTTTAGGTTTTACCTCATTTCTTTTTTAATTAAATTAAAAGTGTGATATGTGTTAAAATGTTAATTTAAAACTTAAATATTTATGAATTGTGTAATTATCATGTTATTTTGGAGGGGTGAACCTCGTAGCTTAGCTATAAATATAATGCCATTTCATCTTGGGATTGTAAATAGAACCTGCACAAATGAAGTACCTATTATTATATTTAATTTAATCGATTCTCTAATTTAGGTATAATTTTTACCTATTTTAACTAATTTGTGTTAGTATATGTTTTTAATTAATAAATTGGTTATAAATTATAATCCTTAAATTATGTTTTTAGTGATTAAAGTACATGTTGAAAGATTAGCTTCATCGCCTATATCCATACCCATGACAAAATCATTTGATTGCCACTGGTGTCTGGTACCCATTAACTCTTAACCTGGTTTATGGGTGTTTAGAACTCAATATGAACGTTATATTACTAAATAGCATAAATTGTACCTATGTAATATTGAAAGTACCCACCAATTCCAATATTAGTATGTATAATCAGTGGTAGTAAATAAATAGCGCAATAGACTATAGTGGTATAATATAGGTAATAATAGGTATATACATATACCTATTGTTCGACAAACGTCAATACAAATATTATAGTTAGGTATAATATTATTGGAACTATACAAATTTTATTATTACAATCTTTAATTAAAATTCTACCAAATAATATCATATTATTGATACATTTATAATAATAACTACAATAATGTGTCGTCTAATATTCTAATAAGTAATAACTATAAATATAGTAACGTACTAACGTGGGACCAATAAAAATTAAATATTAAATTATATCATAACATTAAGTAAGCATATTATAATAATGTATTCCTACTACTTATCATATTATTTTGTATTCGTTGTATTAAATTAAATTAACTTTAATTAGGTGGGTATTTAACAGTGGTTTGGATCAACTTTAAAAACTATTGACGCTATTTTCTATTCGCTGGAACAAAAATTATATTGTAGGTAAGTGTGATGTTTTTAGATATCTCTCAAGCTTTTGATCGCGTTTGGCATGATGGCCTTCTGTATAAGTTTAAAAGATTCTTTCCACATGCTTATTATCTAATTATAAAATCGTATCTCACGGAACGTCATTATCAAATGACAAATTCGCTATGGTTCTGCTGTCTCCGACATAGCATTTATAAACGCCGGCATTCCACAAGGCGGCATATTATCCCCTATTCCACATTTAGTTGTTTTAGACCAACATCAGTAGCTGATTATGCTGATGACAAAACGATAATTTCAATCAACAATGATCCCCTCACTGCCTCTACAAATCTGAAAAATCACCTTGGCCCTATGGAAAACTGGTTTACCAAATGGCGTTTTAAAGTTAACCAAAGCAAATCTATTCACACGACCTTCACCCTCAGACAGGCTCCGTGTCCTAATGTTTTATCTGTATGTCTAAATATATGCGGTACACCCATTCCTTGATCCTTGCTCTCCAGGCTTCTCCTACTGTTAAACATCTTAGTCTAACTGCACTAGATCAAACTTACTCGGACCCACCATATAAAAACCAAAAGACTAGCTCTAAATAATCGCATGTAGGCATGCTAAAAATTGTATTATGATTTATGGAATTAATAAATGTACCTCCGTAGTCCGTGGGCATCAAACTTCTTACGTACAAAAGTCTACTCAAACCAATGCCCTGGGTTGCGAATACTGAATAGGTAAGTTTCTGCTAGTTCGACTATGGAGGTGTATAAGTAGCCAATCGGATCATGTACAATACACAATAGTAGCAGGTAAGCACCTTCCTGCAAAACAAGTTACACAGCACTATTTAAAAATTAAAACTGATTGAAATCATTATGACCAGCACCACTAGGCTATAGTAGTATTAGTCATATAGCTAATAGTTTAAACCTTAAAATCCCTCCAGCCAGTGGTTAATTTTGCGTAAATAAATCTATTTTCTCATCATCGACATACGACGACATTCATTTTGAAGATGCATATTTTTGGTGTTTTCATAATAATAATTTAATGGTAGTTATCGTCGTCTTGCCACATAATATAATAATAATAATAATACCTATGATGGTTATTTCGTTATTGCGACGAGTGCAACACCCAGATCATGCCTCCCGGTTTACCCATCGACCATTATAGCTGCAATTTGTTATTACATACCAGCTGGTATTGCCACAACTTCACAGTACGGTTATTATTTTTTACCCGACACCCGTTATTATATTATTATTATTTTGTTCTTATCGATCGACGATCACACATTTTTTTTTTCGTCCGTGCGCATTAGTATAATTATTATACTGCAATATTATTCCGATCATTATTGTACGATGGCGAATAATTACCGTGCGCGTGGCGCCCGATAATTTCGGTCGCGGCGCTAGGACACGCTGTCACCGGAGCCGAGTCCGTTCCCCCACTCGGACGCGGTTCACGGACGACGGAAACGTCAACGCTTTCACATCGCGGGCGCAACGTTTCGCCGCTCGCGCGCGCGCTCCACACGATACTAATAATAATAATAATAATAATAATAATAATAACACAACCACCTAAATAATAATAATGATTGTTTCCCGTGATAAATCGTTCGTCGTTATCAGGGTCAAGCCGCAGTGTCCGTGCTCCGTAGTTCGCGTGAGTTGGCCCGAGCTCCGTCGTCGTCCGTGTTATTGTTTCCGAGCATTATCAGCGTCGTCGTCGTTTTTAATTTTGATTTTAATGGTTTTAAATAGTATTGCATTGCTATTCTTTGAATCGCAATAATATCGTATCCGTTCGGTCGTGTGCCGCCTACATCCGTCCTCTACGATTCGGACGTTTTAAATACACACGTCAGTCAATTGACAGTCCGCAGAATTGTGCCAGGGACCACCACCTACACGCACGTAATAATAATATACCATGGCATCGAATCAGATCCGTAAGTGCCGAATATTGTATTATTAATTGTTATTATTCGCTCTTTTGCCGACGAGTGACGCAGACGTACTCTGTAGGAGGCGATGTCGTGGGCCCCCGAAACGATGACTGTTCTGGCTGTATTAGGAAATACTATTTTTGCTCGAACGCTTTTTTTTTTTGGCGCGTGACATATGTTTCCCCGGATTCCCCGGATTCGTTTGCGTCTCGTCGCAGTGTTAGAAAGACTTGTTGAATGTACCTCTAATTGTTGTAGTACGATAATAATATTATGTATTATGTATAACGTGCACCGTACAAGTCAATCGTCGTCCATCGTCGTCGTTTGCGGTAAACGAATCACATAAACGGTGAAAGTAGTGCGGACGCACGACACTTGCGAACATATATCGCTTTCTACGCGGTAAACGTCTGGATATTATTATTAATAATATACTTTGCTAGGACTTTGGTCCCCCGACATTAGATGAATTATAGTCCAAAAAAACGTCTTTTGTTCGACCAGAGGTCTTGGCATTATTTTCGCGATCTATTTTAAACGACGACAACTTATTATTACTCGCTTTTGCAGATTCAGATTATATTAATAGAGTTCCGACTTTGTATGATCACTCTCACGGCCGACTCTCTGACCATATGTCCGAAATAATATTATACGTACACATCTAAATATTTTTTTTTTGCACACAAAGAAATCGTGTTTATTAATTGTTTCCTGTTTACGTTATAGGTAGGTATGTCTTATTGTCTTTTGCAAACAGTGTTATCTCATTTGTGGGGCTTCAATGTTTGAATTCATGTGATATGTGTTTTAAGTGATATTATTAGTTTAGAATTTATTAAACAATTAAGCATTACGTCCTATATTAAAATTTTATTTAAAACTAATATAATATACCTAGCTTCTTATATATATATTATATTATATAGTTATAATCTTTAAATTAAATTTTATTTGAAAGTAATGATAAACCACCTACTTATCATATTCTGCATCATTCTCAAGTAATATTACATTTTTTGTAGATTTTTGTAGTTCTTCTTTATACCTAGAACTAGAGAACCAGAGAACTTTATACTCTGTCCTGAGAGAGATCAGCTCGATTCTGCACATCCTCACTAGACACTGATTCCACTATGGCAAGGTGTCACGTGGAGATATGCAAAAGAATCAAGTTTTGTTGGCCTCCGTGTTCTCTTGTTGAACAGAGTAAATATAATGAGATTAGATGATAGCTAGGTAGGAACTGGACATTTTTAGAATATATTTATACAAAATGTCACTTCTTCTTAGGTAGGTATAGCATTTAAAGATGAAATATTAAATTAATTACATAACAGTATTTGTGTTGTATAGAGAAACTATTTCATTTGTATAGTTTAGGATGTTTTTTGATTTTCCAAAAAGTTGGCAATAGATGAATTTTTTGTGCCATTATAGGTACCTACATTACTCATACTTTCAGTAACTGAAAGTACTGTACTTTCTCCTATTTTCTAATTTTGATTTGAAACATAATTTTTTTTCAACCATTATTTTTTGCCTTGATAATATTAATTATTGAGTAGTTATTATATTATGTATCTATAGTATACATGTTTAATAAATAATATTAATAGAATTGTATCTGTTTGGGATTAGGTTTGTACAAAATAATCGAATAACATTTTGTAATGAACACATTATCGGAGTCTGATGTCATTGAAAAATCTCTCCATGTTCCTGAAATTACCCAAATGGCTAATGATAATGAGTTGATATTATCACCAAAAAAACATCTGGTTTGCTTTGCTACCGTCAAAGGGGATTGTTTAGTGACAAAAAACGGTGCATCGTATGCTGGGATAAAGGAGTGTCTGCTCAGTGATCGAATGGTTGATAAAAACGAACCAATTGAAATTGAAATTACAGATTCTGCAATTCCTGACACTGATATTGATAGTGGAATGGAATCTTCAGCATCTAGCTGGGATCGATCAGTTAATGAAGTAAAAGAACATGCATTTGCTAGGCTTGAGGAAGAATTAAAAAAAGCGAATGAAACATTAAAACTTAGAGATGAAGAAGTATCACGTTTAAGTAGAATACGTGCTGATGTCGAATCAGAATTAGAGGAATTGACTGCCAGTCTATTTCAAGTTAGTAACTTTAATACATTATTGGTCAGATAATTATTTTAATTAATTTTTATTATAGGAAGCTCATAATATGGTGAAAGAAGCAAATTTACGTCAGGCGGCTGCAACTAGAGCATTAAAAGAATCTTCAATGAAAGTTGATGTTTTATCTGCTGAAGTGACAGCATTAAAAACCCTTGTACTAACTTCTACACCAAGTCACCCTAATCTATCAAGAGAAGACAGCATTTCGATGCCAGGTTAGTGTAATTTTTTATAGGTAATATTTATTTGTTTTTATAGTCTCAGATAACTTGTAATACTAAACAATAGGTAGTAGCTAATAAATGAATAAATGTAATAATTTATTAATATGCATAATTTACAATGCACAATTGTAAATGTATTTATTATTTTATTGTTTATATCAACATGTATATACATACATATAAGGTACTAACGAGTACAATAATTAATAAACTTGTTGTATTCGTACATATAGGTATCAAGAAATTATTAATTTAACTTTATTTTTATAATTATTTTTCTTAAAAATAAATATTCTCACTGTATCACTTGGTGGTTCGGGTATGTTCTTAATCCAAGGGTGCCCATTATCGTCTCTGTATTCGCTAAAATGTTTGTTCACCGCACACTCCATGCCTAGATTCTGAGCTATTTTTGCACTGAAGTAATTAGTACAATCCATGCAAATAACTGAGATATCATCATTGAGTAAAGCTGCTTCAAATGATTGTTTGGCCAAAGCTGTGGACAATCCAAGACTACGGTATTGTTTTGCTGTTGCTAAGGTTTTAATCTCCCATATTTTGTCTACATTTAACATTTTAAATAGACATGGCTCGCTCTGAATTGAAGACCAGAATCTTAAAGCACGATATAAATCTATATTGCTTTTATTGTATGTATCTAAAAAAGTTTTTAAATTAAACATTTATTTTTGTATAAGAATATCATATTAGTATCATATTGTAAGATAAATCAAATTCACTAACCAGCATGTATTTTTTGTTTCAATGCAGTATCAGGTTTTGTAATACTATTTATAGCTAGAGATGCCACAGCTTTATTATTTTTATCAATAGCTACTAATGTAATGTCACCTTCTTTGGCTTCATAAAAGCATTCATTTAATTTTTCAACATCTATTTTCTGAGCTTTGAAAACCGGTTCATCTAAATAAAAATCCTTCATTGTTGATTTGATGTTTGGTATGTGTTCTTTACTTGCACAAACAATCTCTATGTTCTCTGGACATTTATCCATTTTCTAAAGAAATATGTAAAATAGTCATAATGATTTAAGAAACATTGTATACCTATCATACTTTTCCGTTGTAACAAGTTGGTTGTAAACAAATATTTCTTAAATACATTGGTGAAAGTTGAAGTATTTGTTTTTGAATAAACATCATATCTAATGAGTATTATTTTAATAGATATTATGTTTATGATTGTTACTTTTTTATTAGTAGGTAATTACAAATTTATGTTTTCAAAAATATAATATAAATTACATTAAACTGTTTTATTATTATTATTACATCATTTCTATTAATAATTATAGTTACATTATTTTAAGCCAATCAATAAAATTACATTAAAATTTATATAAACTAGTTAACTACTAATATTTAATTTGTTTATTTTTTAGGAGGACTGAGTGGAGTTGGACTATTTTATCGTAAACATAAGAGATCTCCCTCTCACAATAACCTAAAGTACGGCCGAGAAAATTCGCCACCGGATTCTCCGCTAAAACAAAAGTCTAATCAATCCGAAACAGACACAAACATTTTAGACATATCTAATAGTGCTGAGGTAAACAAATGATATGTTTTTATTTTTATAATATAGTATTATAATATTTTTAACTGATATTTTAAGGTTGATCCAAATGTGCATCGTGAATTTGTTCTTTGGATGAAATCTCCTACTTTAGACAAATCAGATGCCTTTATAAGTCGAATATACAGAGAAGATATCGATCAATGTCTAGAGTTTAATAATTCAACCTTGGCAATGGATGTTAGAAATGCTATTGAATGTGGGAATCTTTTTATTGAGTCTATGGACAAGTCAAAATCTCATTTTCCAAAGTAAATAAATAGTTTTATATTAGTTTTCTCTTTTTAATGTATTTGGGTCTTTAGAGTTGGTTTTTATTCAATGATACCTGAGTGTTTTGCATATTGAAAATAGTCTTATAAAGAATTATCATATATTAAACTATACTGAACTCAGCTTTTTAAGTTATCTCAATGATGGTACACAGGTGTTATGATATTTTTTTTTTTGCCATTGTGTATGGGGATGGAACTGTGAGTTTTTATATTGGATAGGTTGGTATACGTGTGTGTGTGTTGTGGCAGAATTTCTAATGGGGCACCCGTAGGTTGCTACCGTGCCGGTATCGAACCCAGGGCGGCTGCGTCGCAGCCAATGCCTTGGTCCGTTCGACGTTATGATATTATTAAAACTATAAAGTTGATATTGTCAATTTAGGATTGGGTTTCACAAAAGTTATTCTAATAAATGGTTCTATAAATAATCAGTGATAAAAATGAATGACCTGTACCAGTGTACCCACTATAAAAATACATACAATTGAAATAATATTAATGTTAAATTAATTAATATTCAGTTTTTCTAATTTCAGAAAATGTGCTCTAATGGAACTGCCATTGCTGTGTCTCTATAGAATGAATTTAGGAGGAGCAGATAGTGAATGCTATTGCATTTCACAAATTTGTCGAAATAGAGTGAGAATTGTTTTTTATGTCATATTAATTTTACATTAATATCTTAATGTTTGATATTATTTATTGTTTTGATTTGTGCTAAACAAAAATAGTAACTGTAATTGTGTTTTTAGATTACTGCGGTATGTGATTTCCTCAACTACCTCAGATACATTCAAAGGGGCTTGGTCAAAAGTCTAGGTTTGTAACTCAGTAATATATTTCTTAATCTTGTACAACACTCGAAACAAAATACTTAGACTGTTCAAAATATATTTAATTTATTAATTTGAAAACTACAAGGTAGATAATACTATTAACCACTTTATGAATCAAAAAATAATTATTAAAATACCTTGAATGTCGGATATTTTGTTAATTGTTTTCAAAAGTCATTTGATTTTGATAAAAATAATGTTGTTTTATTCATAAAATACATTTGTTTGGAAATATTTATGTTAAAATATACACAACACTAAATTTATAATTCAAACCAAACAAATAATAGTTTATATTGGATGTTTACTTTAAAAAATTATACTTCTGGTTCAAAATTACTTCTATTTAATTTAATTTCTATACAGTATAATATTATGTAATTATTCAACTGAATAACAATAATATCACAATATTACACATAACATGCCATATTGTACAGATTATTACCTAAATAAGTCACCTAAATAATTTTTTTTAAATTCATATTTCATATTTAAATATTCATATTTCTCATATATTTTCATAATGCTTGACAATGATAACATTTAGTCTATTCTTTTAATTTTGTTTGCACTGTTTTAATTTGAACATTTTAACATCAAAAAATGTAATTTTTATTTTATAATATAATAATAGTATACTAAGTAAACAAGATTTAGTGGCCCACGATTGGTCTATTCAATTTTTATTGAACCATTAAATTTAATAAATTGTTTATGCAACCCAGCATAAATGTTGACACTAGAAAAAAAAAAATATTTATGTTTATACTCAAACATTTCAAACTTTTCTAACTGTTCAAGATGTTTGAATTTGACCTTTTTAATTTCTTAGAGTTAAAGCTGTATAAGTGTTCGATAACCCATATCTATAATAAATAAAAATACTAGGAGGCTCTGTTCGTTTTGCTCATCAACCTCTTTTCAATTTTTGCAAGCTAAAAATATATAAATAATTTAAAAAATCTGAATGCAAAAGAATACCTACATTATAAATTATTAATATTTCAATTAAAATATAATATAATATTAGTAGTTGTGGTAATTATTTGATGAAACTATTTTTCAACACTTTTTTTTATAAAATAAAAATATTTTTACCAAAATGTGATGACAATGTTTACATTTTTATAGAATGTTTTATTCAATACATAATTATGATTCAACATTAAACTCCCACACTAGTTTTATTTCATAAAGTATACCTACCTATTAAAAAAATTCACATACCCTCCCATACAAGTATACAATAACTAAACTTAATATACTGTATCCATCAATACTATCATCAGTTCAAATTAATATCGATCGACGATCACACATTATTAAAGAAGTTACAATACATGAAGGGTTACGGGGAAAAATTATTTATAGTCAATATTCCTAAAATGTTCAATATTGCAGTTTTTAAGTGGAACTCTGGCCTTTTTTTTTATTGTAATATTTGAACCTGTATTATATCATTGACCGTGATCTTTGCTCGATTCATCTTTCGATTTGTTATGAAACTAATCAAAAGGTACCATAATTATTTGATTTTTCTTTCTTTTGACTATGATAGTTTTTCCCCGTAACCCTTCATATGTTATATTAATAAACTCCATGACATATGTATAACAGAAAAATTAAAAATATATCAAAATAACTAGAATTTTTATCGATTTAAAGTTAAGGAACCTGATTTGACTACATAATAATAAAAATATATTTAGGTTATTGTAATAGTACATAAATAATATATATTAATAATTTCAAGATATTATCGAACAATACAGAATTTGAATTATTGTTCATATTTTAGTTTTACCTTTGAGCAAATTTACAATATGCAATTAAGTTTGATGAAATTGAATTGTCTTCTGTACATTCTGAATTAAAAATTATAACTAAAATGCTATCATTTAATAATAATTTTCGTTAGGTAAATTGTATACATCGAATTAGAAGGCGTCAAGTCATGTTTGACTGCAAGATTATTATTTACCATTTTAAGTTACAATATTATTGTCAAGATGGATAATCAGATTTAATGGGATCTATGTGAACATCATTTAACAAAATAGAAAAAACTAAATTTCTTATAAAATAATGTATATTAAGTCTTACACCTCGAACACTAATTACAATGGAACATAATACAATTCATAACAAACAAGCATACACATATATCTATAATATAAGTAATATTTATAATTATTTCTACTTATGGATTAAAAATAATTTATTATATTCTCACGTAGAAGTACTGTAGTCAAACAAAAACTGTAGACTTAATAACTTAATAATAAATTATAATGTACTATGTACGTCGTACATATTATTAAGTTTTAAAAAGTACATTCTTTTAGAATGATACGTTTTCCATTAATTTGAAATAGTAATTGTATATTATAGTATTTTACCTCACAAAATTACATCTAATAAAAATGGCGATTACACGAGTTCGTTGGCTTTTATAATTGATACATTTGATATTTTTTTTGCTTAAAGCTGAACACATGTACATTTATGTTATACATTGGCACATTGCTTTGAATTGCTTAAACATATTTTAGATTCTGAGCATAGTAGGGAGCTCTATTGTTTTTCAATAAATTGTGCATTTTTATTCATTGCAGCAAAATCTGTACAATTACATTTAACCTTATTAATAATTAAAAATTGAACACAATCAGAAATTTGAACCTTTTCTAATCATACTTTTTTAATACCACAGATAAAATTTTATCTGTTAGTATAATAAAATCTGCAGTAACTCCCTCGCATCCCCACTTCGCTCAGAATCTGAAATTAAAACAATTAATTTTAGAAGAATATGATTAGGTACCCAAAAAAATATTATCACAATAGAATTTTGTCATGAGTTCGTCATTATATCCCACATTCATGATATCTATCAAACGACTTTTCGCTATTCTCATTTTGTAACCAAACTTAAACCAGAAGGTAAACGTCGTATTTTCGTTAATATTACGAAAATTACAAAGAAAGCGTTTTACGTTAATTTTGTTTTAAATAAAAGTTATTATTAGGTATTATCGATTTATTGTTAACTTTAATCGGCTATACGTTTTACCCATATAGACAATGAACACTATACACGCCTTATCTTGTTCATTTGGTTATGTTAATCTAATTTTAATAGTAAGGTTTTACAATGGAAAATGAGGTGACGGTTTCGATAAAAGCTTGTTTGTTTTCGACGGATAGCCTATAGGTATACACTACATGTTGGAGTAACACCCATTGATCCATTAAGTAATTAATTAATTTGTAATGTATAATTACACGAAACACGGACACGTAATTTAACGGGGTGAGCACCAAGCTTGTATAAATTAAATTTAAAAGCAACGCGAAAGTTATTTTTAGTAATTAGTAATAATCACTAATTGGTATGCCATTGAGGTACACACATTTTTAGACTTTCTATTAATATTTTATGTTTTTTTTTTCTAGAAAACGAGATGTACTGGGAAATCGTAAGACTGCGAAAACAAATGATGTTGGCTAAGTTGGGTCTAGCTTTGACATCGTAATATTGCTAATGTAAGGTACCTATTAAAAAAAAAATGGAAGCTACTAAAAAAAAAAAATGGAAAACCGTATTATTATTATTATGGTAATGTTGTAGAAACGTTGTCGAACGGATAAATAATACAGATGTTACGTGTAATTTTTGTGATCATATCTTGTGATTTTTTTTAGATTTTTTTCGTATAGTAAGTATGTACATTGTACATATTATATATTAAGTATAATTTAAATCCGATTATATTGTGGACCGAAAGTGCAAGAACCCTAAAACGTACAGCGATGTATCTTTACGTAATTACCTCTTATAATGAAATATCTAAAACAACAATAACTGCCGAATAAATGTTAAGATATTTTCCCAGGCCACAACCCACCTATCTACTTAGTTTTTATATTTTTACTTATCTTTGTGCAACTATATATTTTAATCGATAAGTGATAAAAAATTATACCTCTACCATAATTTTACTTAGGTAGGTACACGCAATTGTCTTGCCAATTGATGTTAATGTGATTTAATATAATATTGTAATATACATATAAGGCAGTTAATATTTATATTACCTATGGAACAAAATATAGTTTATAATTGTTTACGAAAGATCTGAAATGGTGAGATATATATTTTATATTTTTGTTTTTTTTTTACATATATATATTTTTTTATGTATTAATTTGTATTCTTCGATAGTATATTGATATAAGTTGTGTGTAAAACATGATAAATACCTATACAATATATTTCGAATTATAAATAATAATAATAAAAACATTTTAATGCAATAAATCGAATTATTAAAATATTAAGTTTTTTTTGTTATAATTTATACATTAGTTAAACAATACTATACGAACTGTTATAATATGATTTATTGTATACAGTGACATATCAGTGGTGTACTCGCAGGGAGGTTTTGGATGTTCAACCCCCCCGGTATTATTTTACTATGTTATGTAATATATACATTATACTGATATTATGAAAACCATTGAAAATATCTGTGTACGCCACTGTGAATTCAATAACGAGATTCATGTGGCAATATAGGTGGCATGGCTCGATAGTCGATTGCGATAATTCTGAATATACTATAGAATAGTGAATAATCTATTCGTTTTTCACATATAGACCACTTAACCATTTGGAAAAATATCTTCGCCGCGCCACTGTGTGGGATAATGTGTAGGCACCTACCTATTACCTACCTTTTGTTTTTTTTATTAGTAAATTTTCGAAAATGTTGAACAGGGCCGGCATAATATGACAGGAGTAGCATAATAATTATAAATGTTATGGGATAGCTTGTATTGTGTGCCACACTATAGTGTGTTTATTTTGTGATGCCATATTTATAGCTCAGTTATTAGATTTCTTAATTTTTTTATTACGACTTTCCAACTGTTCCGGTAACTCGAGAAACGATGACAACTGATGAATGATAACAAAATTAACATTAATTTTACATTTACATACCATTTCGGTCGTTTTGGCTACTATATAATATTATAGATATAGTCTATAGAGTAGGTATACCTATATAGACCAATTTATTTAATCTATGATGCCGCCCGTATTACTCACCCGTGCTTTTATATACATTATATTAATACAATTTAATTATTATTTAACTACTACACATTATCCGACTATAATAATAAATAATAATAGCAATTAGCAGTCTCCAAAGAACAAACGATAGAAGGTGACCTGTAGTATGTAACTTGCCTATGTATATTGGACACTACCTACTTCCTGCATGACTACATACACGTACTGCAGCTCTATTCATCGGCATGTACCTGATAAAAGAAGTCGAATTTAAATAAATCTATATTATTCATAAGCTTTTTTTATGTTATTGGGAAATAATATTTACAATAGGTACCTACTACCTATATTAGATATTAGGTTGTATTTTTACAATGACTGTATTTATGTGTTTTATTTTTCTGACTTCATTACGTTTTCGATAATCGAATATCATCATTGAACACTAAAGGGAGGAGGGGGGGGGGGTAGTATTTTCAATTGAATTCAAATAAAAATGGACATTTATTTTGGTATTCCTGGTATTCTAGAAAAAAAACTAATAAAAAATGCTGAAATAAGGAGTATTCCAGTTTTTGACGAAATCGATTTTTCATTGTAATTCAAAAACAAATACCTGTAGACTTAAAATTGTCATAAAATATTCATGTAATAATTTTCTATACATAACAGTACAACCATTAGTAAGACGCACAATGCAATTTTCGAAATGCTTTGACTACCTACTTATTTAAGCTATTTATACCACAAATATATTCTTAATCACACTCTTTTACTATACATCGCCTACTTGGCATTGATTATTGACTTGGAAGTTATATGAGATGTTCTTGGGAAAAATTATTTTAACCTACTGAATAGTTAAGAAAATAATAATTTAAGAAACCATCCAGGATGGTGTACCTAATAGTAGTCTCCTTCGCTCAGAATTCCTTTTTTAGTTTTTTCGTATACGATGATTCATCAAATGAATTCAATTTTAACACATTTATTACAGTGACCAACTATTGACTATTCAACTACGAGACGTGCTAGTAACCTAAATACCTAAAGAAAACAAAAACTAGTTCCGGTTTTTTTTAAAATAAACTTATCAAGTAAACAAATGAATTCGTAATAATTACAGAAACAAGATACATGAATATTATGACATAAAAGTAGGTATAAAAATAATGATAATAATAATATTATGTACCCATTACCTTACCTATTTCGTTTTTATCCGATTGCAATACGATTCGATGATTTTTTTTCTCGTCTACAATATCCTGTTTTTGTGTGTTTAAAATTGTTATCACATAAAACGTAAATTACATGTAAATTGGCCGACTGCAATACTGTGCACTAAATACTAATATATAATAATATTTCCTCAGCGTATTTATTTTGTTTTCGCCGACGCAATCATACATTTTCTTTGTAGGTTAGGAATTTTTGATAACCCTGGTCGCGTTAAACCCTCCAATCACAGACATAATATTTCTTGCCATATATGTATTGCCATAACTTCGTTCACCGAAACTACAAGTCTACAATTCCATCCCTTGAACAGAGACTATTAACAATATAATTTACATTGTTGTAGTATTATATTATAATATGATGTTTGTAATTTATTCGACTATAATAATAAATTAATATTATGTAATTATTTTTAATACTGTGGTCGTGTGGGTACCCCATTGATTGCACTAGGTATTACAGTTATAGGTAAGTTATAACTATAAGCAAATTTGAAAAGACAAGTAAAAAGTTAGATAAGCCCAACCAGTTAGTGATGAATCGATCGATTGCCAATAGTACCTAATATAGGTAATAAACACATTTTAATATGTGGGAGAAAGGTATTATTATGTGTCCCACTCGGCCACTATAATCAATATTTTTACTTTTTTTTTTGTAATTTGTATACATACATGTATACTGTATAGTTGTATCATAGTTTAATTAATGAAAACCAATCCTAAAAATTACGAGTATAAATGGCAGTATGTCACAAATACAGAATGATTCGAGTTCAACATTTATTATTACCTATACTCTTATTAGTTATTACCTATATAGGTATAAATAGGCAACCAAATCAACTCTTATTTTAGATAACTCATAACTTGATATTATATTATTATCGTAATATGTGTTATAACTTATTACCGTATGGCGTATATAATACATAATATATTATGTACAAGTAAGTAAACGCTTTTTAAATTTAAAATAATACTTACACGTCCATCGTCAATTATAGAATTATTGCGATATGACGTACCTACCTCTTTTAAGCTAGGTACGCCATAAGACATAACACTTATACTAGTATACTACCTATAAGTTATTAGTTACTTATAGTTAATAAAGCTTTTAGTAATAGTTGGGTAGTAATGTAGTATAATATTTTCCTATATTAGGTACCCAAAATACGCACAAATTGCAACGGCCATTTCAATAACTTCGAAAATTGCCTATATTAAACTCCTTAAAAACGGTACCGACATATATTTTTGTTAACATTTGAGCGATATCAAAATATAAATTAACTAATAATTTATTATTAAAAACAAATCTTCATTTTTATAAATTAGATTCAAAGTATATCATTCTTCTAATTGTAACAACCATTTTTTTAAAGGAAAAAATATATATAACAGACAATAATTAAGGTATTGAAAACGACGTTTGTATTGTTATTTAGATTTTTAAAATAAAGGAGCTTATTTTGACGCCTCAAACTGGGCTATATACTATTTATTTAAATGGAGGTATATACATTGTAGAAAAAAAATTTGGAAAATGTTAATTTTTTCAAACTTAGGTGTTGGTGACATACCTGTTGATAGTTAATTTCATACAAATTTTACTTTTAGTGAATTTAGCTGTGGAAGGATTTCCGAGCGATCTACAAAACTAAGCTACAAAGCTTACGGTACCGTCGACTAATAATTTTGCGAAAAAAAAAATTCAATTATGTTCGTTCTAAATAGAAAAAGGACTGAAAACAGTTTCTAAAACGGCGATTATGTTGATAACATATTTAAAAAGAAGGAGCTTATTTTGACGCCTCAAACTGGGCTATACTTTTTATTTAAATGGAGGACGGAGGTATATACATTGTAGAAAAAAAATTTGGAAAATGTTAATTTTTCGAACCTAGATGTTGGCGACATACCTGTTGATAGTTAATTTCATACAAATTTTACTTTTAGTGAATTTTGTTGTGGAAGGATTTCCGAGCGATCTACAAAACTAAGCTACAAAGCTTACGGTACCGTCGACTAATAATTTTGCGGAAAAAAAAATTCAATTAGGTATGTTCGTTCTAAATAGAAAAGGGACTGAAAACAGTTTCTAAAACGGCGTTTATGTTGATTACATATTTAAAAATAAGGAGCTTATTTTGATCGAGAAAAAAATATATTTATTGTTTTTTATTCAAAAATTACTTAAAAAAATCGACAGTGTTTCATGGCTATAAAGATTTAAGATATTCAAAATGTTATTAAGTATAGAAAGTTCTAATATTCATATATAGTGGATATTTAAAACGATCAGTTGCTTTTGAGTTATAACAAAAAAACAAAATTGAATTTATCAAAAATTGATATTACTTTGTTCCGATTCTAAAATATCAAGGATTAAGGTCCACACATAATACCGCAGTAGGTATTATTTTGATTACAGTTTACTAGTGCGATAATTTATATAAATAACATTATAAATGCTACGTTTTTTCTAAAAAATGATTTATTTCTTAACTTGTATTTAGTATTGGTTTGTTTTTAATATTATGTTACTCTAATTAGACATTGTTTAATAATTAATAAATATTAATTTTTTATTGTGTTTCTTCTTTTAATATAAGCTTATACCTATATTATACATAGCGTTTAATATATTTACGGTATAAAATTAATATTTAGTATATGGAAATTGTTTTGTTGGAAACGTGGGCGTTATCTTATTTGGTATTGACGAGTATTGATTTAAAAAAGTAAGATACATTTTTGGTAGAAACGGCTAACTTTGGAAAAGGGAAAGATCAACTTTTGGTGGAAATGTGTTAAGCCCATGTATAATAAATAGATTTTAATGCACCATGATATTGTTATATGTTGTTGGTGTATGGTGGTGTATTAATATTTATTTATTATAGTATTATACATTATCGTTGTGACATTGCTTCGCCTTATTCGTGTACGAATATAATATCATCATATTATAATATGGAAATTAAAAATAATAAGCAATTATTATTTAAATACTAAATAGATAATTAGATAAATTAATTAACATTTCATGATACTTAGCTATAATGGCATATTGTATCATCTAGAATGCGTTAACACTGAACAATCATATTTGTATTTAAATAATAGCCCATTGATAGATTTTTTTTTATTGAGAATAAGCAAATAGAGAATTTACAATATCTAAAATGACAAATAATAAGCACTTAAATATGGTGATAATAATAAGAACAAAAAACTGGACGACGTGATATATTGGTAGGTACTTTAAATAATTTATCATATAACTTAATAGTAATCATATGCCATATGCTATACCTGGAATATAATTATTAAAATATATTAATTTTAATTGCAAAACATTTTGAAAGTATATTTAAAATTGCCAGTATTTATTTTATAAAATTGCAACATAAATGTTTAGGTAGTAGATTAACATCAAAAAATAAATCTATACAAAATATATATTATAATAGTGTAAAAATAAATATATTACCCTAGTAGTAGATACTACCCAACTAAAAAAAAATTTACAAAATAAATTTGGATGCAACATACGAGTATAAATTTGTATTAAACTTTAAACTTAAAATGCATAATAACGTATAACCTGAACGAGCATTGAGTTAATGCGGATTGATGACTGCGCATAATTCAATGAAACTCGCCATAAATGTTGAAAAAATGTCACAGATATGCCTTTTAAATTGAAGTCTCGCCGTACGAGTATACCCCTCTCGACGCAAATATGTGACCATAAAATACTTTAAAATAACTGCTGTCATCGCTGTCCTCTGGAGGTGCGTACCAGCTGGTACTGACGTTGGCTGCAGTGAACGTAATCGTTGCCGGCCCGAGAACCCGTCACCGTCTCGACTGTCTCCGCGGTGGTGCTGCAAGTGGTGACTGACCTGCTTGAGGTGTCGTGACATCGACGCGTCGACCGCCGGGAACGTTTAGGGCGAATAACGATGGCCCATCGTTGGACGACTCGCATTGCTCGCATCAGCAATCGCAGACAGCGTTTGACAAGCGGCGGCGCGTCACCTCCGCTTGTCGTCGTAGCTGGCGGCGCCTGTGGACGTCGTTGCGGAACGGATCGTCCGCCGTTTCTGTTATCGATGGCCTTCGCTTCGGCGGATCTGCGACCGCAAGGTCCGCTGAACCGGAACAGGCTGCACGACAGCGTTCTAAGCACCGGTGACAGGACGCGCACGCCGACCAGGCACACGGCCAACGCGGTCAACGCTGTGAACGCGGACGCCGGGAGGATCCGGGCCGCGGCCAGAGCGATGATGACCGCGCACAGGCCGTGCAATAACACTGACCGGTCGGCCTGCCGCCCGCATGGCGCTTGTTCTACGCAGCCGTTGCCAGAGCCACGACCTCTCGATTCCGCGTCGTCGTCGGATCGTTCGCACTCGATCATTTCGTGGATTGTCGAGCGTATAATGCCGCGGGATGTCGATTGCGACGGCACCAGAGTTTCGTTTTCGATTAAGGCGTGCGCACGCTTTTGCCTGTGCATGCGAATAATATTAATATATTTCAACACCAAACAAGGCTGCTGCTTATTAATGAACGTACTTACTCACATGTATAACTATTGTAATTTGTTTGTGTGCTTACGTATAATATTATTCTGCTGAGCGTTCCGAATAGTTGATTTTATATCGGGGCGACGAAAACACCGCGATTGATATTATATTATGATAATAATAAGAAGGAGATGCAAAAGAATAGAAGCGGTAAAAGGCGAGAAACTATCGATGACTAAATTTAGCGAAACCAAAATATCAATGTAATTCCTTAGAAAGGAAAGAAATGGATATCCTCCGATCCTCCTACCCACCTCCACGAAATCCTCACTTCAGTAAAGTTATTCAAATGTCTAATATTATCAAATCTGTATCTTAAAATTTAAAAACCATTCTATTCAATGTTTATAATATGCATTTAGTTTTTTAAGCTTAAAATGTGTTAAATAATATTGTTACTAACCAATGGCCACTGTAGACGAGGACTTTTCTTTGTAACTAAGAAATAAAAAGCAATAAGAATAAGAATAAAAATAGTAAATACCTAAACACGACACCGCAGACTACAATGGCGTATACATTGTTGTCAGGGCCTTAGGGAGGATGTTCTCATTTCAACCAAATTGTGAGCTACGTAATATGTAAAGTAAGCTAGGAAAATAGAAAATAGAAAATAAAGTTTAATAAAGTACAGCAAAAATAATAAATCCAGCTTCCCTAGGTTAAGGTGATATATTTAATTTATCTTCTAAAATAGTTATGTTCATACTTATTAACATTTACTTATAAATAAATAAATACAAATATAAGTTTATTCATACATCAATTAAAAATAAATTAGGTATAGATACAATAAATAGTAAATAATAGGTACTTTTTGGGAATTTGACAACATTAAAACTACTCACAATAATAATATATATCGTACACAAAAACAATAATGTTTTACTTCCGTTTAAGAATCTTTGCAGCCAAACTACCTATTGGTGCCTCGACAACCAGGAATAATAGTAAGCCCATTAAATAACTTTTCAATAAATCATATAACCAAGCATCAATCTAAAAAAAACGTGATTATAAAATTAATGTATATTTTGAAATTGGTCAAAATTAATAGAAAATAATGCTATTTTGATATGTTGATAATAATATTATGCTAATATATATTTTAATAATAATTTCAGTCTTACCACAGTTTGTTTCGAAAGATAATTAGGCGATCTCATTCGACTCTGTGATATCATCATCACAGTGAGGTTGACTAAGAAAACGGAATACGAAAGTCTTCCTATTGGTACAATGAATCTATTACTAAAGAATTTTAGCAGTAGACCTGTAAGCAGTAAAAAATTCATAGTATGAAAAAAAAATTGGTGTACTTCCTACTTTTCCGTTATTTCTATTACTGCCAGTCTTAATTTATTCCGTTATCTCGGGCACGTTTATATAGTCAATTTCTTTTTTTTAATTAAGTGAGTGTTGGGTGTGCAATTAACAGAGGCCCCCGGTTTTGGGAACCCCCGAGATCGCCCATACGATATTCTTACTACAAACTGTTGCACATATTATATTATTTGCTCTAATATAATAATGTCTTTAGACACTCTTTTGAGTTAAGATAATTCGAATTGCAAGTACCTACCTATGTCCATGTGAGAAACCTGTCTAAAATTGGGTGTACATAACTAATAATTATTAGCTATAAAAATAATATGAGAAAACAATATTTTTTTAGAGTTATAATAGGGTATGACTGTTTTAATTTTTTTTTTATCATCTAAGGGCCCCAGTAGAGATCAGCTCGGTCCCGGGTCAACCCGGACCGGACCGGAAAAACCCGGACCGGATCCGGGTTAGGTCCGGTCTGGGTCAAAATATTTTATATTCTTGGTTTAGGTGTTCGGTTCGGGGCACAGTCACATTATAATGGGTTAGGTTTGGTTATATGTTTTTTAATATAACTGGGTATGGTCTAGTCCGGTCTTTTTTATATTATTATGTACGTACTACCTATATATTAATGGATATTTCTTTGATCTGGGTTAATCAATTTATATACTTGGAAAAATGGTATTATTTGTCAATTTATTTATAATGATTTATAAATAGCATTTGTTCGTATTTCTTAAAATACGGCCATTCGCTCGTCATGCCCTTATCGGTTATTAAATAATAATAATAATAATATTATTATGTTCCATCAATACAGGAAATTTTAAAAATAATTGTTTTTTCTTGTTTACTGTCGAATGTCGAATATAGTACCAGAGTGTCTAACAGGTACTTACTACTTAGTAGTCACTAGTCACAGTCAGTACGATGAGTGGATAACACTGGTCCGGGTTTTTATTAAAAACTTATGATCCCGGGTTGGGCGGGTTGGTTTAAAAAAAAAAATAAAAATCCGAGCTGGGCTGGTCCGGGCTTATAAAAAGTTTGTAAGCATGGTTCAAAATTGGTTTGGGTTGAAAAATATATTTTTGGAATTGGTCTGATCCGGTTTCACAAATTGTCTTAAAAATTTGGTCTGGGCCGATCCGATTTTTATAGGACCGGGCTGTACTCTAGGCCCCAGTCTAGAAATGTTCACATAGATCCCTCATTGTCAAGTTGCGAAACTGATTACGTATTTATATATTATGTATTGTTTAAAAAATAACGTCCATTAAATTCTATATGAAAATCAAAATTAGTTATTGAATAATGTAATAATTTATTGTCGACATTTATAATAGAGTAATATTTTTAAAGAGCGTAAAGAACGGTGAATGATTATTACTACAACAATGGATATTTGTAGGCATTTGTTTCGAAACTAATATTTCTTTTATAAGTGAAAAACTTGGTAATCGAGTCGAGTAGGTAGTAGTCGAAATAATATTAAATATATCGAGCTGATAGAGTATAACATCGGATGCCGGGTGGTATTCGCGAAATAACGGAAAAGTACCTTTTTTGTAAGTGTACTTTCTTATCATTATTCATTATATTATATATACCTACCTAAATAATATTTAACTAAAAAGATAAAAAAAAATGGATACAATGTAAAAAATCTGATAAAATTTGATATTGCATAAGCTAATATAATATTATAATAATATATCATAAATTATTTAAAGTTATAAGTTATAACACTCAGAGAAAAATAATGCCTAAAGGTGGGTACACACTGGAGCATTTAGGTGTAATGTAACGCTGTAATGTAACAGAATTCGTGCTCGCTTGACTGTTACAATGTTACAATGTTACAACGACCGGTGTGTACGTTTAGAGTCGAGCGCTACTGTGTATCGGCTGTTCGCCGGTCTATCCATCAGTTTTTCACTATTTGTCCTGGTGTAACAACGTGTGAAATAATGCCTAATTTACAATTAGCCAGTGCATCTTTTATTCTAATTCATAGAATTTTAAAAAATAAAAAAAAACAGAAAAAAAGTGAAAGAAGATGGTGGCAAACTAATTTGTATAATTCAAGGGACATTTTTAGTGGGTCAGATTTATTAAATACTCTTCGGCGACAGGAAATGAGTGGGCAGTTCAGAAATTTTGTAAGGATGTCTTCTACTGATTTTGAATACTTAATTAATTTGATCGGACCAAAAATTTCAAAACAAGACACTAATTTTTGGAAAGCAATTCCAGTACAGGAGAGGTTGGCCGTCACATTACGGTTTTTGGCAACTGGTGAATCATACCAAAGTTTACAGTACCTTTTTAAAATTTCAAAACAAATTATTGGACAAATTATTCCAGAAGTATGTCAAGCAATTGTAGAAGAATTAAAAGAAAATATACAGGTACAAATTTTATAATATGATAATACATACTTTTATTTTAATTTTAACACCTCTTAAAATAATATAGAACATGTTATAAAATATAATATAAATAAAAAAAATGTTCTGTTTAACCATAGTCATTGCTAATAATAATAATAATATTGATCATAAATCATAATTATATAAACTTTTTGTAATTTTTTTTTTCATTTACTTAACTATTATTTGTAAAAAAAATAATAAAATAATAATGTTTATATCATAGAATAAGTACTATTAGGTACTTATGTTAAATAATTCAGCCTGGACACGAAAACTTATCCTTCATAAAAAAAAAATAATAATAATAATATTGAATAAATTTAATTAAACATTTGTTAAATGTTAATATTGACTTTACGATTTTACGAAGATCATAATCAGTAAGTTAAAGTTTAGGGTTGTAAGTGGAAGGCGAAGGAATTGAATTGTAAATAGAAGGCGAAGGGGTAGGATCGAAAGTGGAAGGTGGAGGACTTTGATCGTAAGTGGAAGGAGAAAGACTCTGGTTAGTGTAAGACGTAGAAGGCGAAGCACTAGAATTATTATAGTTAGATGGCAATGTATTGGGTCCGTATGCTAATAATTGTGATGAATGAGAAGGATATAATACATCATTCATATTATAAGTCGGAACAGTTGGATAATTATTGTATTCATAAAACCCTTGGCTAGCTTTAAATATAATATTACTGAATTCGTGCTGGACAGCATCTCTCGTCCGAGGAGTGTAACTATTTAATTTTTGTTCGATATATTTTGAGTATGCGCTGCTTTCACTTTCTTCAATTGGTTTTGCCGCAGCAGTTAATATTGAAAACGCTTGATCCAGCATTAAATCAGCGTCCATGTCAGCGTTCGATTTTTTTTTTTTTTTTGGACGAGATGGTGTATGATCCGATGTGTTTGTGGTGATAGAAGACGTGTCATTAAGACTTTCAGATACATTGGTGCGCAACAAATCATCTCCAAGAATTTCGTCTGCAGTGGTTATTTGTTCTTCAATGATCTGAAATATAGGTACGCCATGAAGAAATAAAATATTTAAAAACTTATCAATTTTTTTTTAAACAGTGTGTTTATCTTTGATGCATTTATTAATATGTGAAATTCATGCATGTATAATGTCTCAAATGTCTCATCTAATTGTTGTAATCTAAATTTTCTAATCTGAAAAGTAGTGCAAAAAATAGTTCGATTTTTAACTGTATGGGTGGTTTCACTGTTTCAGGTAGCAATTAGGATCTAGTTCACACTTTTATGAGGTTAAAATTTAAAAATTTGAGTATTATTGAAAAAATTCATGAAAATAAAATAAAAAATTTAATTTGTGCTGGTTTTTTTGCTGGTTTTAAATTCAAAACCAGCTTTCTCATAGTAGTTAATACTTAATACAGTAACCAAAAAAAATATTACTTAGAAATAATATTAATATACTTTGTAAATATAGGCTGACAGACCGTCTTAGATCAGAAACGTTTTTCGTACACAATAATATCATATTTTTGAATTATAAAATATGAATAAATACTTCCTTAAAAATATGAATTCAATATATTGAAAAAAAAATGATTAAATTACATTTTAAAAAAGCAGGTAAATAGTGAATGTGGCTCTGCTGTACAAGTGGCCAAGTGGGTGACTGTAATGGATGGTATTAAATTTGAATTCAACGATATAATATCATTGTATACAAAACACGATTCTGAGTTGAGACGGTTTGTCAGTCTGGGATATATTATACTCTTATACTGTTATACTATATTAATTATATTAAAATGTAGATACCTACCTATAAAATAAATTCCAAATTAATCTAATTAGATTCATTTACAAAATAAGGCAATAACCCAACTCACTCAGTTATTCATAGTAGGTATATACAATTTAAAGTACCCACAAATAATATTTTTTAAATACAGTAATATGGCTAAAATTGTTATTTTTGGTTATTTAATTGGTAATTTCATCCAAATTTGTATTAAAATAACTATAAAAAACTGTGTTTAAATAGTTTTTATCTTTTTTTTGCAGTAGAATTAACTACTTATGTAGAACCTTGTTTTAAATTTTCAATCCTTAGCTATAAAATTTAAACGTTTTATTAACTTTTAAACTTTTAACAACTGAAGAATTTATAAATTTTCAATTAAATACATTTTGGCAAAATTTTAACTTTAAATCATTATTTTAATAAAACGTGCCTATATATTTTTAATGTTTTCCAACTGCTAACAATTGTTGAAATATTTTGAAAATGTTATCAAGTATATAAAAAGCATGTATAAACATTCAATGAAAATTTAATTTTTTTACGATAATTTTTTTTAGAGTTACACCAATATCTAAAATCGATTTTTTCAAAAATTGATTTTACGTAAAAATTCCCGTTTTTCCTTAATTTTTTTTTTGGTTTTTCCCGGTGCTTTTGAAAACTATTGGGCATTTCAAAAAATCACCTCCCTAATGCACCAACTAGATTCACTTTCCAACAGGAAAAGCTACTGAAGTTGAAAATCGAAGCATTATTTTGACAACTTATCGTGTACACAGGCACAAAAAAAATAAATAAATAAATAAATAAAACACACAACATCATAAAATCAATACATTCATCGCTCCCCTCAGAATCTAAAAGTTTAGGCTTAATACAATAATTTTATATGATATCAAAATAGTATTATAATATGATGAAGATGTTAATGGTGTAAGTGTGTAACAATACTTAAAAATTATTATTTTATATTTTAGTATGTATATTATTTGCTATGTAGTTTTCTATTTGCTACAATAGATTATTATTTATAATTTTAGATTCCTACTACATCTGAAGGCTGGCTAGCCATTTCGGAAGGATTCGAAAGTCGTTGGAACTTCCCTCACTGCATAGGCGCAATGGACGGTAAACATGTAGTCCTACAAGCTCCATTTAACAGTGGAAGCGAATTTTACAATTACAAGGGCGCTTTTAGTATTGTTTTATTTGCATTAGTTGATTCCAATTACAATTTTATGTACGTAAATGCCGGATGTCAAGGCAGAATTTCTGATGGTGGAGTATTAAAAAATTGCGAATTATATAAAAAAATTGAAAATTCGTCGTTGAATCTACCGGCCCCAATACCATTACCAGGAAGAGAAAAATCAGTCCCTTATTTTATGATTGGCGATGAGGCGTTTCCACTCAATGAACACATAATGAAAGTTTATTCTGGTTTACATCCCAAAGGTTCGGTTAAACGACATTTTAACTACCGTCTATGCAGGGCTCGGCGTGTCGTGGAAAATGTTTTCGGGATTTCATCATCAGTATTTCGCGTTTTACGGAAACCTATGCTATTGGAACCCGAAAAAGCAGAGGTCGTTGTAATGGCTGTAGCACATCTTCATAATTTCTTACGAAAAAGTACAAGCTCCGTAAACATTTATACACCGAATGGCTCGTTTGACAGAGAAGTTGACGGAGAGATCATTGAAGGAAATTGGAGATCAGAAAATAATAATTTAACATCTTTGTTATCAATCCGGAACTTGCCTCGTAGATCAGCGTTAGATGTGAAAGAACTTCGAGATGAAATCGCAGATTATTTTATAAATGAAGGAAAAGTTCCATGGCAAGGCGATTATGCATAAATATTTTTTGTTATTATTGATTATTATTTTTTTAAATTATTATTATATAAAATAGACTACAACTAATAAATAATGATCATGTACTAAATTGGTTTGAAAATAATGTTTACAAGTTAAAAATTGAAATAATATCATCTTTTAGTTTTTACTTACAGTGTTGAGTGTAGGTCGAGGATTATCTTTATCCATAATAAAGGCCAAACTTTTGAAAGCAAACCATGAACTTTCGTAAACTTCATCTCTTCCTTGAATAAAATAATCAAAAACATATTTTAAATAAATAATAATAATATTACAAATCTTTTTTGGAATAATATTCCTACATATTATGTAGGTAAGAATAATTTTAATAATTAATAAGCAATTTACCTGTGCTAAACTAATTGATACAACCATAATACCATAAAACTGTAGGTACTATTTTGTTCTTATTTAAATTTAAGAAAAAAGTTTAACGTAAAATAAGATTATTATTTATTACATCATATGTTTTTTGTACCTATAGTTTACGAGAGTTAAGTATTCCAATGTAGACGTCATATGATATAATATATAACTTTTTTATTATTTTATTAGTAAAAAATAGTATTATACTTGAACTATTATTTGTATACATAAGCTTAATACTATTTTTAATTGTTGTCAATTATAATCAACAATAACAATTAAAGCATTTTTAATGGTTAATAATATTTTATAATTACCTGTGCCAGTTCCTTGACTACTTTTTATTTTCATTTTTTCACGTCGAAATGATGCGTTCAAGCTGGTCATTTTTTTTTTACATTCATCAGAAGTTGAATTCATTTGTGTGGCCAACTCTTCCCAAGCATCGGCTTTAGCAAATTTATTATAATATTTTGGATCCTTTGGATACCATAATACTGGTTTATTTTTATAAGCCTCTATGAGGTCTAACACTCTTTCGTTATTCCACTCCATTAATAAAAAGTTTTAAAATTAACAATAAAAATTCAAAACTTGTATCAAATTGATAAATGACTAACCAAGCAGCTTTGCTTAGAGAAACTAATGTGCTAAGAGCCTTTCCAGACGGTATGTTTTGATGTTTTAGCACATAAAACCTCAAAATGGTACCGGTTGGATCCTTCCTATACTCTGTCGTAACATGTTGAAACTTGCGACTATTGTTGTGACTATTGTCGTCACTCGTCAGGCGTGCGGCGGAAAACAAATCGAAAATGTTTGAATTCATAATATTATGTATATAAATTGTATTGTTATTATTATTATTATTATTATTATTTCTATAATATATTAATATTTTAAATATTTATTTCAAAATAATGTTCAGTCTTGTTGCCTTCACACCAGTAGCGGCGATAATGTTCATAATAATAATAATAATAATAATAATAATAATAATACTAATAATAATTAATAATATTCATAAATCATTATCCTGGCAAAAATATTGTAGTGAGCAGGGAGTACTTCCCTAGCTGAGTACGATTTTGGAAGGAAGTGTGAAGCAAATATCTAATTTTGTATTTTACTGATGCTATGCAATGACCAAACAGGGGAGGGGTTATTGGGGGTTTAAAATTGTCCTGGCGACCTGGCAATTCGAATCACGCTTATTAATGACCATATTCGCCGTACGCCACTGGCCCTCCTTATAAATCAGTGGCCAGTGGCCCAGGATTGGTTCACCCAAAAGTCTTGGCGCCACCACTGTGTTACACGGCACTGGACGATACCGTACACACTAGCAGCGAATTGTAATGTAACATTCCTTTGATGTTCGTCAAAATACCGACACTCGGATGGATCGACGGCGTCGCGAGCCGAGCGCGCACGAATGATACAGTAACACCGTACACACTTGAGCATTACAGTTACATTACGGCGTTACATTACACCTAAATGCTCCAGTGTGTACCCGCCTTAACATTAATGATATCGTTGATAGTTCCATAAGTTAATGAATTTAAGATTTACTTTGGTATAATAACTGCACGCTTCTTAAACACAAAGAAAATATAATTTAAGAAACTATTTTCTACCTTTCAAACGTTAAGCAGAACACTGTAAAGTTACACTTGTCTTAGTGTTTAGAGCAAAAAAAAATCAAAGACTATCAAATTATCTTATGTTGTATGAGTGTGTGACCAAAATTATTCAACTTACCGTAACCACTTGTGAAATGGCAAGCAAGTATCCATGAAAATAATATTGCCCATGTGCAATGATTTAAAGTTGAGTATAGAGCTTGTTCTAATGGATAATAAGGTCTATCTCTCTTATAAAATATAGCTCCATAAAATTGAACCCATAAACAAATTACGGCAATAGTGAACGTTCCGGCGTAGACAGTTATCTATAAAATATCAAAAATGAATATTTATTGGTTCAATTCATAGATACATTTGTATAAAATACAAGTCGATACTTACTTGTGAAAATTTAACTTTGTTTTCCTTTAATTTATCAATGATTATACCTGTTGCTATACCTGTAAAAAAAGGAAAAGCTCGCACGTAACTTGCTCTGTACGACTCATTAAATGTTGAGGAATATCTTGTGTTTTCTAAGAATCTGAAAATAGATTTATATTTAAAATGTTTCATTATAAGTCAATAATACACTTTAACTATATTTTGTCCTTTAATTTATTATTCAAATCTCTAAAATATACATGAATAACGCTAAAAACTAAGTACTTAATTTTATATTTAGCAACCTGTATTAAAATAATTTTGATAAGCACAATACCCTCAAGTATAAACGTATTGTGTAAGTATAGTAAAGTAACAGCGTATTATAAAAATTAATACATTATTATTTGATTAATATTATTGTAAATTTAACTCACGGAAGAAGTATTTTAATTATGCCCTCTCTTTTTGTCAATATCGTGATTACGAATGGCACGGATATAGATATACCAATAATTGCAATTAATAATCCAATCCCGAATTTAATGTTCTTCGTGTAAATGTAAACAATAATAACTCCAAGTACGCAAAACTGAACATCACACGATATGTACCAACTGGCTAAGAGGCACTGCAATGGTAATTATTAACAGTTAATAATATTACACGATTTTATACAAATGGTGATAATAATTAATATTTATTTATTCTCCAAGAATAATATGGGAGGGGGGGTCCTCCTCACAACTAAACCATAATAATATGGTTATGTAACTTATTCTATGATTTGTCATTACATTAAAATAAAATAATACAATTTTGTAGTAAGTAATACTTACTTCATACTTTGAATCGATTAAATTACTTATGAACAACATATTGGTCCACCAATAGTTTTTACAGATATCTGCTTCGTCCCAGGTTTTATGAGGCCATAGTGGGCCGTCTCCGAGGTGTGGTACGATATGCGCCGTGATCGCCATCATCGCACAATAAGCCGGTAATATTCTGAAATGATTTTAGAATATAATATGTAATATTTTAATGAGGAGAAGTATGCAAGAGCAGTAGTGTCAGTGGCGTAGTTATGATGGGGGGAGGGGGGTATTGGGTATAGATCCCCCAGAGATTTTATATTCTGAGCCAAGTGATAAATGCATATTTCAACGATGTATTTTATTAGTTTATTTTTTGAGCCCGTATATACAGATTTTACTACTTTATAATATTTTCAACTTTGATGATTGCTTCTTATGGATCTAGATTGTACATTTTATATTAATTAACGGAAAAAAACCAAAAAAAAAACCATAGCATGCTACTCGATATTTACCTCTACAAAGAAAATCTAATAATCAGATATATGTTTTTGTTAATAAGTTACCATGACAACGAAAACCTTACGAAAAATCCGACGGAAAACAAAAAGTTGTATCCCAGCCTAAAATCATTTAATAATATAATATGTTAAAATTAAGGAAAACCGGGAATTTTTACGTAAAACCAGTTTTTGCGAAAAACAATTTGTTTTTTTTTTAGTTTAACTCAAAATCACCATAGATATCTTAACATTTCACCAATTCTTTATTTTATCATTTTTTATAACGTTATAATTTTTAAAATATTTTTTTTTCTCGTTTTGAGTTATTTATTTAGAAGTTTGTTCTATAAATATCGATAAAATACATTTTTGTTGAGTTATAAAACTTGACAATTTAATACAAGGTTCCTCATGAGATGTTATAATAGCAGTTAAAATGTATTAAAAGCACATAGGCACGGATTCTTTATATACCTTTTCAGTCAAAAATCTAAAAATTTGCAAAAAATAATTATTATTTTGTAGTTACTATGATGAATATAAAATAAATAAATATTTAAGGGGGTCGGAGCCGGTGCGTTTTTTGGTACAAAAACATGTGAATTAATTACCCAAATTGTACTCCTTAATAAATGACCAGCACCGACACCCTTAAATGTAGCCAGCTGTAGGTATTGGGTCCCATTCTTGTATACGGTTTTTTAAATTTAGTGGATATTCTTTATTGGTCTCTATCCAGTCTACCCAACTGCAATAATTGAACAGTGGTTGTGTAATCTTAATTTTTGGAGCTAGTACCTATTAAGGGGGCGTTACAGTGATGTTTGTTGTCTTCTATACCTTATAGGTACAAGTGCGTATAACATTATAAGTTATAACATTATACCTATTTTAATTTTAAAGCAAATTATGAGTATTTTAAGATGTACAAACAATTTATCATTTTTAAAATACTCTTAACTCGCTTTATAATTAAAATACAATAAAAATCCTGTGCCATTGCCTAGATAATAATATTACCTTTAAATTGTATAAGAGATCAATTCACTCTAACTTTTAAACTAACGGAAATAAACGTGATTTGCTGAGCGTAAAATTTCCTATGTTACGCACTTACAAGACGGAGACAACAAATGTCACTGTACGTCCCCTAAAGATTTTTCACTTGTATTATTTAGTAGTTTAAGTCAGAAATGTTGTCATTAACCAAAATTCATGAATAAAATTAACATTAGCCATCGTATCGGACATTGCCCGTAACACTTACATGCGTTTTTGATTTTCATTGCATATTATCGTAAATTTTATTTTTTATATAATGTAAAGGGTTTTACCTGACCACTCTGTAGAAAATTGGCATAATAAGTTGTACCAAGACTGATGCCTTTTCAGATTTTTTATAAATCGGTATTAATGTTGAATATATCAAAAAACCAGTTATGAAAAAAAAAGGATCAGTTAAGTTCATACTAGTCAAATAAAGCTGCCGTCCATTGATGTAAATCTGTAATTATACATTATTATTTATTGTTTTATTATTACGGTTATATCTATATATATAAAAATGAATGTATGTCAGTGTGTGTGTCTGTGTGTCCATGTTACCATGGTTACCAAGGTTGCCATGGTTACTAAGGTTACCAAGATTTCATATCAATCTATCTATATATATAAAAATGAATGTATGTCAGTGTGTGTGTGTGTGTGTGTGTGTGTCCATATTACCATGGCAACCATATCTGTATATAAAAAACAGTAAGCTGATTGACTGCTATCAACGCACAGCTCAAACCATTGGACGGATCTGGCTGAAATTTGGCATACAGATAGCTATTATAATATAGACGTGCGCTAAGAAAGGATTTGCCAAAATTCGCATTTTAAATAGGTGCTGAAACAGGGACATTGAGATTCACGATAGAAATTGGAAATTTTATTTTTATTTATTTATAGTTGCCATTGGTTACAGTCTACATTAGAAATTAGCATTTATTTATTGGTTGCCATTGGTTATTCGGGCAGATCAGGTACAAGCTTGCATCAAATCGAATTATTGAACAATGCTTACCAGGGTGGCAGAGTTGCACTTACCGCAGAAAATTACACCCAAAAGGAGTTCAACAATCATAATTTTTTTAAGAGTTGCGATTTTTTACGAGCAACCAAATTTATTATATTAATCCACAGTATTACATCAAAATAAACTTGGTATAACTTTGATACTTTAGAGTTAAATCATACACTTCCGTACAAACAGCACGGGGTCCGCGATCTACCGCAGGTAGATTGCCTACCTGATAATGTACTGCTGCGATTCAGAATTTTTATTCAGGGCAACGGGAAAGATAAGATAAATTTTGAACACCATACACCGAATATTGAATAATGAATTGAACAAAGTTTGAGTAGGTAGTATTGAGTTGATCCATTTAACGGGCGACGAAGTGCACGGGATCAGCTAGTTTTCTATAAGTAAATACTTAAACGTTTTTTAAATGTATTAAAAAAACCTTTTAGCAACATTTGAAATTTGGAAATGGATTACAAACTGACAATTATTTCAACCAAAATGTACCAATATTTTGTCAATCATACCGATTGACCTGATAACGCGATAAGACTTCTGAAAACTGATTTCAATTTGTTTATATTATGTCTATTTGAGATAGATCAGGCCACTTTTTTTTAACATTTTGTTCTCTAATCCAATATATTTTGTTTGAATATTTACAATTTATGAAAGTTTAAACCTTGATTTTTCGAAAATTAAATTAAATATATTTAAATGTGGTCTGATCGATCTCAAGTAGACATGTTAACGAATTCAAATCAGTTTTAAGAAGTCTTATTACGTTATTAGGTCCATAGGGGTAGGATTGAAAAAAAGTACATGTAAAATGCAAATGAGCATACATTACTGTTTACCGTTCACGCGCCCAACGCCGAGATGGCGAGGCGTTGATTTGTTCATGCGTGGCGGGAGCACTCCGCTATTTCTTTTACACATAGTCGCACAGACCAGTGGCGTAGACATGATTTCTGAAAGGGGGGAGGTAAAAAAAGACTTAACGACATAGCTAAATGGGAGGGGAAAATTGGAAAGTCCCCCTCTCTTCTCAAAACTTTTTACTTAGGTAGTAAAATATTATTAACAAAAAGGAACTTTGAAGATAATTTGAATTGATTCAAAATTCATATCAAACACAATAATATGGAAGATTATTCACTCCATAGCCAAAGGGATCTGACCCTACTCCCCTCCCCTACGCCACTGGTACAGACTAATGATCACTTAAGCGTAGTACATTTACAAGACCCGCCAGCATACAATTTGGAAATTACCTATTTTAAACTCCTTAAAAATGTCCATTTGCAATCCTCTTAAAAATTAAAATAGGATTTAAACACAGATTCAATTAATTTTCAGAGAAAATCGTAAATAATACGAAGGAATATGAACAATCTTCTTTAAAAATTAACCGCTTCTGTGTTACTTACACTCAGAACCATTATTTAAAATGTGAAATTGTTCATCATGATTTTAAAATTTTAATTTAACTGCTCTCAATCCCCTATATTAACTTTATTCAAAAAAATATATAAAAAATGTTTCAACTTACATTTTCTATGAATTTAGGATTAATTATTGGATTTCCAACTAAATACATAAATCTGTGACCCATTAAAATAACAAACATCAAAATCGCTTTCCAACCATTTAGCATATTCAATTCGTTTTCTTTATCAAATTTCAATAATATTTTAAACGAATGAATAAAAGAAAATATGTAGTAACATGATTTTGGAACTTCTCCTGTTGATTAATAAAACATATGCAATACGTTAAATATGTTAATTTTAGTTAATTGTAAAAAAAAATTTGTATTTTACTAACTTTCGTCTTCTTTCTTATCTTGCTGGCGTGATAATGCTATATAATGATGAGCTGTTGAAACGCCACAAATTAAAAATAGCACTCCTAAAATCACGCTAAAACAATGAAATAAATTGATGAACATGATCTTTTTTTTTTAAGAGTAATTCTTGCTTTTATAGTTATTTATAATTTATAAACTGAGCAATGAGAGCATATTATACACTTTTATTATTTATTAATTCAGTTGGATATTTGAATGACATTTTTATATGTAAGATGTGGTATTATGATAAAATATGAATGTGTGATAAAAAAAATATATCAAAAATACCTAATGACTACAAGAAAAAAAACAATTACTTGGTCACGTAATATGCTGTATTGTAAGGATACATGTCTCCACTAACAGTACACAAGAGCGGATTTACTTTAACAACAGTTTTGAACTGCTGTGGTAAAAACACCTTGTTCAATTCGTTTTGCAATGATGTTTGAAGATCTGTTGCTGTACAAGTATTCGGAATGCAGATTCCTAAATTTAAACTATTTCGTTGAACTTGATCCGGATAATCCACCCACTAAAACAATAAAGTAGTATACAAATAATTTTAAATGTCACTTATATTACAAATTACAACAGGTATAGATAGATATTGGATTTTTAACATATATCTAATTTTATTTGTTTAACGAAATCCAATTAGTAATTAGGTTATAATATATTGTTCCATAATATTATAGTGGTATGCGATAAGTATTGGATACATAGTTATTACAATTTAAATTGAGTCTTAGATGACAAATTAAGTACCTACACCAAATCGTTATTTATTTTTTAAAGTAGTATTCTTGTACGAAAAAAACAAAATGAAATATTATATTTGTTGATTCATTGTAATATTGTATAATCTAAATTTTGTTTAAGATATGAAGCCTTTAATATTAATCGCATTATATAACCATGACTGGTATATAGTGGTATATCGTACATTAATATTTCCAGGGCCTAAATTTAAGGTATTTTGCTACTGCACACCTAATTCCACACTAACATATAAGTCCTTGATACCTATAAGGCTATAAGACTAAAACGTAATAGCTTGAGTTAATATACTTATTATATTATAAGTCGCCCAGAATATGGTCTAGTCGGTATTATTTTTAGTGTTAAGGATTTTAAACGAATACAATACGCTAAATAGAAATTTTCAATAATCAATATAAAAAGCCTGTTAACGTTAATCTTATAATAAACAAAAAATAAAAAATAAAAAATATTAATCAAATAAAAATTTAAAAAAGTTGAAAATAAGTACTGCACACTTTAAAATTTGCTACTACACATTTAATATTAGCTACTGCACATAGTGTGTGCTACTGCACACAATTTTAGGCTCTGAATATTTCTTTAAAAACATTTAAGTATTTTAACATACCCCGAGTACTGTTTTCCAAGCATGATTGTTGCCAAAATCGTCTAGATTTTCCGTTCTATTGAAACCATAATTTTTTCCCTCTGGTGGAAATAGCTTTATTTCAGATAAACAATACTGTCCTCTTATTGGATGATGCACATCGACACATTCATCGTAGACCCCCATTTGATATCTATTACCTGACAGTATACCAACGGGATAACGGTTCCAGGATTCGGACACTGAAAAAAAAATATTATAAATACTTATAGTACTTTAATACTTAAATAGTATTAAAAATATAAGCTATAAACATAAATTATGTTTTTATTATTTGAATTAATCTATTCGCGTGGTACACCCTTTAGGTCGTAAGTCTTAAATCTTAATGTATATAATATTGATATTCCCCGCCTATCCCCATATGATGTATTATAATTTATAACATATACAATATAAAATATATTATTGTTTAAAAGTTACCGAATGGCAAATTGCGATATCATTATTTTTACAGTGTTTTATGTATTTTTAAAATATTTTGTCGTGCAATGACAAACGCGAAACGTAACCAGGATAAGTAGGTACATATTTTCCAGCTACTGAAGAAAATCTATTTCGTCCATTGATATTTATTTACTGTATTAGGTACATAGCATATTAGTTACTAACCTAACTTTACTATTGTTATATTTTATGAGTACCTATTTAAAGATAGATGTAGAAATTATGATAGTACCTATAATGAAGATAATTATTATGATTCATTTACCTTAAATTCATAATAAATATACTTGCATAGCGTATCACACTACCGTAATGCCATCATATTATCACAAATTGCATTATGTACCTACGTGTATGATACCCAAAATTCTGTTTGGGTAAAACGTTCGATACAAATATATGCACTCACATATAAAATCAGAATTTTGTTTTATTTTTCTGTTCGATCGGTCCGGCCGGTTTGGGTTTAGTGTATGTGCGATTAAGACGTAGGTAAAGGTAAATGTTGTTATTTGTTAAAGGTTATTGTTAATAATTATTCTATCCATTATATTATAGAGATGAACCCTATTAGCTATCATAATGTGTGTAATATGGACAATGGCAAACATATATGGAAGTATTCCACGACATTACTGTGAAGTATTATTTCAGAATAAAAAAAAACAAATTACGTCCAGATACGAGCTACAATACCTACTCCTTATTTTCACGGTTGTTGTAACTTGTAAATAATATCAATGATGCAATTAAATATAAAATATGGAATTCAAATTAAAATATTTTTTTTTTTTAAATAAACCAATACATTAACTACAGTAATAATATTATAACTTAGTGTACCTAATACCTACTAATAAACTGTCAATTATGTCAAACAAAAACTGCCCGCTTCATTATGTAAATATATTATGGCATTGAACTACATCAATTATATAGTTATACAGACTTCTCATATTCTCACTCTCACACGTATGCGGGTTTAAAACATCAAAAAATTATCGCATAAAATTTGTTTCGAGTACATAATAATAAATAATTATAGATACTTAACAAGACGCATATGTACAACTATATAATGAATAGTTATAAAATATATAATAAACAATATTAAGCTAAACATTACAAATAATTATATTGTATTACCATGAAAACTTAAAAACTTAATCTTTTTAATATATTAAAAATGTATATTTATTATGTTTGGTTTAACTAAAATAGAAACATGAGTACTGGACACTGGACAGCTGTGTGCCTATTTAAATATTCCGGAAGAAAATATTGTAAATGTCGCGGTCGTTTACGTAACAAAGTTAAATATATAAATTGTACAATATAAAAACATCATAATATGTATAATGTAATATAATACACCTAATTATTTAGTCATTTTTATAAATATTCAGCAAATAATTCTAAATAATATTACTATTTACTTTCAGCATTATTTTGTTTGATAGCCTCGAAGTATTTCTATATATAATAATTTATGATTTAAGCAAATGTGATGCCTATACAGCTTACGGGAGTACATATTACTATATTTATATATTATATTATGTGTGTATTATATTTATAGTATAATATAATCAACAATAATAATAAAAAAAAATAAGCCAGATATTTAGTTAATATGCTTAATTTCCACCAGTAACATTAAATAATTGTATGCATATTTATTCGGGATATCAAAAACGTATTGGTAGTTAAATTAAAACCAAAATGCTCTGAATAATATAATGAAGATTAAAATATAACTACTGGCGTACGGGATACAACAAGATTCCCCTTAAGTTTTCCTACATTTAACAAAAACAAAAAAGTTTACCAGAAATTTGACTTAAGTCAAATTCATTTTTCAAGAGCGGTTGAACTTTGAAGTTAGACATTATTGTATATTTACCCGTAAATTAACAAATTCTCATACAACGATTTTCTTATTTTGTCATTATTAAAAAACTGTTAACCACCGTTTTTTCCATAATTTTTATTTTAATTATAATTTTACTTTAAGATATAACCATGGTTATTAATTTTTGAGTTACACCAAAAATATAAAATCGATTTTTTCAAAAATATTTTCAGTTTTTTTTTTTTTTTATTGACGTTTTCTAAAACCACCTGAAATTTTTAATTTTAGACAGGCCCGGAGGCCACGGAGTAAATGTACTGACATTATTTAATTTGTCTCGGGCAACGCCGTGCAGGATAAGCTATAGAATTATAAGAATATATAAGAATATAATATATCATAATGTATGTGCCAGCTCCAATCAAAAGAAACTTTGATTTCGAATGACGATTGACGAATTTACACGAAAAGTGTTTTGAAGCGGTAGCCTTGTTCGTAAGCACTAAACTATAATTGCCTAGAAGACGTGACGAAATATAATGAATCCCGGAACTGCTGTCGGATACTCGCACATATTTTAGTATACATCAGTGCATATTAATTTAATAATTATCCTAGATAGGTTAGGTTAGATTAATTATCCTAGATAATTATAAATTACCATTTTTGTAATATTTACTATTTAGTCAACATATTGAATTCAAAAACCAAATTCCCCTTCCGGGTAATTAATAGATACACATCATTTGCATAATAATTGTGTCTGCCTACAAAAATTATTTAATAGTTGTTGAAACTTGATTAGTATTTGTTTTGTTCACTTTAAAATGTTGTTCCAACATTTTACATTATGATGACATAACCATAAACTACTATTCACGTAAATTAAAACAGTAGGTAATCCAAAATTATTATGTACTTACTCCCTTTTTTGTATTATTTTCTATCTGTATTAACCTTTTTTTCAGTTTGTTTACTTTGTCATAAACTTATTCAATAAATATGTATAAACAATATTATATAATATCATGATATATATTATATACCCATTACTCACCATTTACCAACCATTATTTTATTGCATCATCTTGGATAAATTAAATATTTTTACTAAAATTTCAAATTTCAATGTCATATTTATATTTTTACTTTACCATAAAACTGTTGCAATTTTCAACTATTGACTTAACTGTATAATTAATAAATATATATAAATAAAAAAAAATTATAATTATTATTTCATTAACTGCATAACTTTTAGTAATGAGCTATGCATATTATTATATATTCACATTCGCTCTTAATAGAAAATATATTTGTACATCATTTCATAAACTTAAATTTAATTTTGAATAACTTCACAAATCACAATTCTCATTTATACCTTACGTGAAAAATCATGTGCAGTTTATGTTCTTTTTAGGAAAATTACAGTGTAAGAGAAAAAAAGGTGGGTACCTATAGGTTATAAGTAGATGTCGCTTTGCTGTACAGTAGGTTACAAGTGGGTCACTGTAATGGACGGTGTTAAATTTGAATTCATTGATAAATATCATTGTATAAGAAAAACGATTCTGAGCGAAAACTGTCAGCCAGCCTATGATATTATAAATTTTCAATCCTTAGCTAGATAAAAGTTGAACATTTTATAAATTTAAAATTTGATAAATGTTGTCAAAATTCGAACTTTAAATGCTTATAAAAAAAATTGTGTCTATGTATTTTTAATATTTTTTAACTGCTATTGTAACAATATATATATCAGAAGCTTTGCATTCAATTTTCACGCTTTTTTACTAAACAAATGAAATTGTATTGATATTTATAAAAAAAAAAAACTAAGAATATTGAAAACTGATAATGTCCGTGTAAACAGCTCAAAAGGAGTCAACATATTTTCAAAATTTTATAGTGCATAGAAAATAAAAATATAAACATTCAGTAAAATTTTCATTAGATTTGTTTCTTAGAGCTACATCTACTAGCAATGTGATGATGCTGAAATCCTTGACATTCATTGAAAAAAAGACTAGTAAAATTGGAAACTGAAAATGTTCCTAAACAGTTCAAAACAAATCAAAATTTTACCGTGTATATAAAATGCAAATTTAAACTACCAGTGAACATTTCTTATATATACGTTCATTTGTTTTAGAGTTATACCAAAAACCAAAATCGATTTTGAGGAAAACCGACTTTGCGTAAAAATTCCCGTTTTTCCTTAATTTTTATGTAGTTTTTCACTGCGCTTTTGAAAACTATTAGGAATTTTAAAATTTGACCTCCCGAATGCACCAACTAGATTCACTTTCTTATCGAACAAGATACTGAAGTTGAAAATCGAAGCATTATTTCGACTACTAATCGTGTACATAGACACAAAAATAAAAAAATAAAAATAAATAAAAAAACACACATCAACGTAAAATCAATACAGTCATCGTTCCACTCAGAATCTAAAAGACTACTTACCTATACTGACAAATGTATAGTTAAATATTAATATTACCTACTCTGTTATTCACAGTTCAATAAAACGAAATATAAATAGATATATTTGTTGTTATATTATGGCATTTTTGGTAAAAAATTACCAAAAATGACATAAATATTAAAATATTCATTTAATGTGTGACTATTTAAAACAGAACAAACCAGGAAATAACAAATACATTAGTGCAGCTACAATTCGCTTTTCTTTAAGCGCGTTTTCAAATTTTAAAAACTACAATGTTCTATAAAGATCATTGTTAACCGATATCCCTCAAAATCATAACTCTTCGAGCGAAACTTATAATATTAACATCACTGCTCACAAAGTCACATACTCACATGCCCTGTTGCTAGATAAGTTAATATCAATTAATATTTAGATCAATTTATATAAGATAAGATCTGGTTAGGTTAATCTGGTCTCTGCACCCTTTTCAGAACTGGAATTATTATGGAAGTGGAATAATTGTTTTGTAAAATATAATTTAATATGACGGTGGTCAGTAACATAAATGCGGGGGGGGGGGGCAAGAGGGTTACACTTGTGGGGGTAAAAGTATCATTTTCCCCCTCCAAATAATCCACATTTAAAAAGTATTCTTAATAAGACTGTTAACATAATATTATAATTTCCAAATTTTTTTTTTCCTCTAATTACTTTATAAAAGTTTATATTTATTTTAGGTTTCTCTTATTGAATAATATTATGTTGACGTATTGTCAGTGTTACTGTCGCATTATTCGTGATTATTATTATCCGTGATTCGTGAACACGTTATTATCATGAAATCTCGATTATTACTAGAGGAATGGCCGAACAGGAGGTTAATTTTTTTGCCCCCCCCCCTAGATTTTTATCCAGTTACGCCACTGAAGGTGGTTTTATGTGTAAATTACATAATTATAATTTTTGTAAGTATAGTTATCATTTTTCATTATAATAATTATAGTTTAAATAATTATAAAATAACTAGTTTTCTCACGTACACCACTTAATGTCTTAATAGTTAATATAATGGAAGATTTTAATTTTATCTTTTATGCATGGATTTTTATTTTTTTTTATCCCTCTTTTCTAATAACTGAATTAAATTGTGCACTAGAAAAAGTAATTTCATATTCAAAATTAACACATTATATTTTTTTTCTAATTATGTAAATTAAGTTTTCGCTATTTTATATATTTTTTGATACATCTAGTTCAGGAAAATATTGAGATGACTATTCTTTAACCAACATATCCGGGGATCTATACTTGGAAAAAATATAAAATTGAAAACAAAATTATTTTCCTATAATTATTAAAAATACATCAATAATAAATTAATACACCTATTATAAAAATGTCTTTAAAAAATAAAATTATATGAGATGTTTTTAAAATAGTTTAATAAGTTTTATTTTGTGTATTGATTTAAAATGTACGTTGTTTAATATTTTATAGCGTTCTTTATATTTTTCTTCATTTGGGCGGATTATTTTCGCCTGTATCTAACTACCTACTCAAATTTAGCTTAATATGTTAAACCATTAAAATATATTGATAAATCTCTATACTGTTGCATGGCTTCTTTACTAATAAATAAAATTAAACTCTTCTTGAACCCAATGTGAATTAGAATGAAAACAATAGATTCGGTTTAATAGATCGGTTTAATCGATGCTAAAGATAGCATTAATTGACATAGAATAAATCCAATTCAACACAGTTATATTTTTTTGAACAACTATTTTTCTGACCGATTCTCGTCATCATTTTCGCGTTACAGACTACTACTGTAAAATATAAGTTGGCAGCTGCCATTAGCTACCGGTGTATAATACAATAAATTATGTGATCATAGTTGATTATTGATTATGAATCAACCTTGTTGATTCATTTATTTTTATCATATTATCGTTAAATTACATTTGTTCAAAATTCGTTTAATCGTTTAAGCTAAAGTAGTTACATTAGAACTCAAATTTTGTTGCTCTCGAGAGACTTAAAATACTTAAAGAAGAAAGTATACACGATTTCGTATATGGTCGACATTCGACAACGAAGTTGTTTTCTCTAAATCTGTCAAATCGAAAGAAAAAATACGTAAGCGCAAACGGCACGGTTTGAAACGATTTATATTTATCACTGTAAGGCTTGAAACCGATATTTGATACCGATTTAAACCGTTAAGACCTGACATCGATACCGAAACCGAGAACAGAAACCGAAAAAAATCAATACCGGTAGGTAATCAAAATCAAAAAATACAAAAACCGATATTGAAAACCAAAAATGAAATCAGTAAAAATAAATATCGATATCCGAAACCGAAATCAAAATCGGAAAAAAATATTTACGGTTTCAAGCCCTGCAGTTATTACGTATTAAATCATACATAATAATATAATATAAGTTCTTACAAATCATTAAAATGAAAGTGAAAATGATTTGTTTTTGTGTTATTAATTGTTACCTATTAGTAATTTAAACCGTTGAAGTACCTAACTAACTTATTTTATTCATGAAGGAACTTACTATGTTTTTATTCTCTGACCCCTGTTAATTAGATATAAGTGGTCCTCCCTTAACACCAAACTATTAATCTACAAATCTCTACTCAAGCCAATGTGGACGTATGGACTTCAACTATGGGGCACGGCAAAAAAATCTAACACTAATGGAATTCAAACATTCTAAAATATATGGCTCTGACGATTGTCTAATGCTCCACCCTATGTCTCTAACCTAGCCCTTCATAACGATCTCCATGAGAACAATAGAAGCGGAAGCACACATTTTCTACACACGTTTCCATAAACGACTTCAAACCCATCCAAACCCTCTCATAAAAGATCTTTCCATCCTTACACTCCCAGGAACTCCTAACCACAGATTAAAAAGAAAGAGGTGCAGTGACTTTTTACAAAACTTTAATGTCTAATGTCTTTAGAAAAAAAAATAAATATATAATAATAAATAATTAAAAAAAATAAATAATTATCATTAGTCAAGAGCCACTAATGGGTGGCTGCTTACTCACAACATTCATTTTATTCTACTCTTACTTTTATCATATAAGCTTGTTGTGCTAAAAATAGTATAGATTGTTTATGTCAAATAATAAAAAAAAAAAACTACGTGGTTTACACGTTATGATTTATGACTAGGTAAAATGTTATTTGGAGCTACATCCGTACTAAGAGGTATCCTCGAACCACGTAACCCCTCTGCTGTGTCGAATCACATCAGTAGGTTTAACACTTAAGGGGACTCGTGCCTTTTTTTACTTCATGTTCGTCAACCAGGCCACATTTCTAAAAATAGGTAAAACACGTATAGAAATTTCATTTTTTTGAGCTATATAAAAATTATTACGTTACACCTTGTAGGGGGTTTGGCCCACTTCCAATTTGACACCTATTTTGAAGCTGTGTAACATTTTCCCAAACTATTTATTGTACGAATGTCGATTAAATGTATTATAAAAACCAAATTGTAAAAATAATAATAGAAATATATTATATCCCTACAAATTCTATTTTTTGTAATAGGATAATGAGTTTTATTTTTGATGTGGGTTATCTAGACCCTCAAGCGCCTGTTTAAGGGTTGACAACGCAGGACTATAAACGTCTAACTCGTTAGATATTCGGTCGTAAAAATGATGTTAGTACTATAATACTAGTATATTTTAATTGAACGGATCACATATAATATTATAATAAAGAGTAGGTACCGCATTACATATATTATATGCATACCATGTCGCGAGTCGCTGAAAAATAAATCAACGACATTTAATCGGCCGCACATAATATGATGGATAATATATCTTATAATGATATAATAATATAATAATATATTATATAATACTCACTTCTAACGGCCCAACTGGTGTAATTCCGTAAACTGTTGTCGTAAATCTCGACTTGTTTGCGGCACTCGGAGCTCCCTACATGTCGCACGGTGAAATTCGCCAAAGCTTGGTAGAAAAGATCAGAGACCCACGATCCAGGAATACCGGCATCCTGAGTACTTGCTCCAGCATTTAACTCCACGACGGACTCATTATTGGACGCGATTTGGCCGTTGGAGTACTCTGTCGACAGCAAAGTGATCAGCACGATCGCAACCACCGCAGGTGGGTAAAACGACATTTCGAAACCGTTTACTTATATAATATAATTTATAAATCTATCGGAGATTTATAGATCGAAAAATAGAAGAAAAATAATTTGGTCCCGATGGCTTTTTATACACCACTCGCGGTGTATCTTATAATGAGAGTGTCAATAATTGTTATTATTGTTCACTTGCACTCGGTCACTCGTAATTTGAGGTAAAAGTGTGAGCATTCCAATTGTTTCACACTCGTACTCGTCCAATATAAAACTTGGGTATCAAAGTTATCTTAGAAAACTTGGATTATCGTCGTCGGCATCTGGCGGTCAAGTGTGGGATAGTTATAGCATGCCCAGGTATGATACGTGGTGGTACGCATGTAACGACCTTGCTAAAAACGACAAGGGAAGTAGGAAAATACTGATGTATTTGTTTATATTATCGCAGCGATATAAAATCAGAATGTTAATTATTGTAATATTCCTCAGGTTTGTTCTCCGAAATCATAAGTCATAGTATAATAATAATAGGTACTAATTATAATAATCATAATATAATAATCATAGGTATTACATCATGTTCTAAGTTATTTTTGTGAAGTTATTTATAATAATATTATATATTGTTGCAAATCGTTTGACAGAAAACTTAATTCAGAATTTAATTCTGACCACCCAAATATTGTTTTATTAATTGAAAAATAGATTCAATGTAAAACAAATCTAAAACAAAGAAGCATAATATTAAAGCCAAGAAAACACAGATTAAAAAAAAAGTTAATTGTTCAACAAAAAAAGTGAGCAAGTAGGTAACCGCTCTGCTGTACAGTAGGAGTCAATAAGGGTATAGTCATTGAATAGGAAAGTCATTGTAATGGATGTGACTCAATTTGTGTATTTGTGTGTTGAATTAGAGTCAATGATAAATCATTACATACAAAAACTAAAAATGATTCTGAGCAGACTGTCTGACAGACAACCTATATTACTAAGTATATTTTATTATTTATTAGGTTTCAAATTTAAATATTTGGAAATTTCATAAATATAATAATAAAAAAGTGGGCAAGTAGATGCAGAGCGCAGCTATACATTATGCGTATTGTGGGTCACTGTAATGGATGTTTAAATTTGAATTCAATTATATGCATCATTATTCGTTGGCACTGGATGGGTAGGTACCTGAAACGTTTAATGTACATGTATTATTATATTTTATATGCACAATGACATTTTAAAATACAAGTTTTTTGTCAAAAATTAATTCAACCTACTGTATTACTAACATTGATTAAATATACAGTATATTTAATCAATGTTACTAATGCCTAATAGTAAAATAAATTACTTTAATAAGAGGTCGTCGCACCGCATATTTTGTCTCCGTCTTGTAAATTGTTTATACATCTTTTAATACTCATAACTCAATTTAAAATTAAAATATAACTAAAAGCCGATGAGATGCCCTAGATAATATTCTTACCTTTAAATTTTATTAGAGGTCAATTCACTCTAAAAATTAACGGGGATAAACGTGATCTGCCAAGTGTAAAATTTGCTATGTCGTACGCGTGGACATCGGGTGCGACGTCCCCTTAATCACAGTTATATTATAATTCATAACATACTTAATAATAATATAACTATAGTCTGACAGACTGTCTTCGTTCAGAATTGTTTTTCGTTAGCAATGATTTATCATTTAGTTCTAATTTAACACATCTATATAACAGTTACCTATTCAATGACGAAGTACAGTACCTATACAGACTACAGTAGTTTTTTATCTTTGTACATTTATTATTGTTTTGTTATGTCTTATTGTGTTCTACTAGGCTTATGGTGGGGAACTGTATGTGTTATCGTTATGGTAAAATGGTAAATAGATGTTGTAGTGAAGTGACAATAAAATAATGACTATTTAAAGGCTCAAAATTTTAGAAGCATGTACCTGGTTTTAGTGATTGCAACGAGGAACTGGATGTGTAATTTTGGATTCAAGTACAGTTCTGCATATTTGAGGCAGGGCTGAACTAAGATTTTCGAGTAGAAATTTTAATTATTTAAAGATTGGGGTGCTGGGATAACGCGACCGCCGGTTGTCGTTTGCGCATCACTATTGTTAGTTTTGACCTTTTTTGTAAGACAGTTGAGCATCGTTCGGTTTTTGAGTTATACCTACATCATTTGAGAATCGACCGTTTAAAAGGTCGTACTACATCATTTGCTCATCAATATTATTTAACAATAAAACTGAAAAAATTTGTATACCAATTACCAAGTTGTTTTTTAATTTTATAGTGGTACCTATCCTTTATACAACGGGCTCCTGAACGTCAAAAACTAGACTATAAATTAAATAAAACTTTTTACTGATAAAAACAAAATGTATTAATGCAATTTATTTTTAATTGTTTGTATTTATTTATAACATATTATGATATATGAGAAATGACAATCATTGAATTTTCAATAAAAAATTATTTTTTATCCCCTGCTATTGTTCAGCATGTTGATGCAAATTACATACGCCCCATAATATGATGTACGATAATTTGGTGCAGGTAAATAAACAATGCGCAAACGATAATCGGCCGCTGATGCGCAATAAACGATGTAAGGGGGACGAGGTGGCCGAACGGTCTAAGGCGTCGGTTGAGGTGCAGCCGTCGCAGGTTCGATTCTCGGCCACTGGGCGGCATTTTTCTTCGGACAAGTCACGGTGTCCGGAGAATGGCAGAAACCTACGGGTGCCCCACTAGAAATCCTGCCACAACACACACATACGTGTACCAAACCTATCCATTACAAAAACTCACAGTTCCACCCCCACCCAATGGCCTATGTTTCGGGGCATCTAATAAAAATAAAAAAAAACTATGAAAAATATTTTGGCACAGGTTAACAAACGATGCGCAATTGACGGCCAACGTGACCCTAGCAACCGGAACTTGGAATCCGGTTTTCCAGGACACAGCGTGATTGCAATATTTGTTTTGTGGATACACATTGTATAATAAACTACAATAGTTACATAATCCCCAATAATTGTCAAATTTTGACCTTGAAGATTGCCCGGTAACGCATCTACAAAATCTTGTTTAGTCTTTTGTTATTTTAAATATTATTTGACTAACGTGAGTAGAAATCTTGTTTCTTGGGATAATAGTTGGCGTTGTGTAAAAAAACTGTAATGCATAGCTAGTATTATATTAAAACCGATAATTACCGATGAACCGGAAACTGAAGAAATTTTAATCTTCCTGGACGTTCAAGGTAGCGGTAGGTGTGAAAGAAAAGCACGAGAAGGGGCGAGACCGTTTTCAACGAAAAACATACACTTCCCTTTTCGGCCAAAACAAAAAGCTCAATAATAATTAATATTACGTAATAGGTATATACTTTAGGTCATTATGTTATACTTATAGAAAATATTGAATAATAGTAAAACAGCGTACTCGCGTGGGCCCGCTAGAACTAAACCCATGTTCCGTCTATTAGTATAATATGCCATGGTAAAAATACAACCCAAAAGATATTATACACAACCACACATCTAAATATCTAATCCACATTATTGCCTCACTAGTCAATAATTTAATATCTGTCGAGCATCCGGTTTTCATAATAATAATTGTACAATTGCGTGTATTACACAAGTACCTACACCAGTTTTTTGTAGACCTAATTAGTTCAAACTATATTTTTCAATAAAAAAAGGTTGAAACAATCAGGTGGCAAATAAATAATAATATTTCCCGATTATTAAAACTTAAAACATTTTTTTAATAGTCATTACTTATTAGATATAACGCATTTGGTCGACCTTGTGAATTGTGATAATCACATTTCAGTTAAATTTCAGACGCCGTCTAAAAGAAGTTGTAATTTTCGTGGAAACATGCACGCACATAATGTACACTGATATGATTTGTGGTAATGTAACACTATACACATATATTCAGTTCCGCCATGGCTATAATATTAAGGAACACTAATTTAGTAAATTAATAATAATATGTATCTCGAGCAGTAACAATAATAGTTGTTTACCATACCTAGTTGATGTGGGTAAATTGGAGTTTTCATCGTTCTTCAGACATGGTCAGATTTTGAGATGAATATTTTGATTTTACAATGATTGATTGATGTAAATATGTTTTTTATTTTTGTTTTTGTATCTGTCATCAAATATTCCACAAATATTAAAATTTAACATTTTCTATACGAAGGGCTCCATGCAAGAACGAGATAACTCAAACTTTTATCAATTGTTCAGGACGAGCAAAAGAAATTCTGTCATCTCATTTACCACTATTGGCGGGAAATAATTCATTTTGTATTTTCTTCGGGAATAATAAATCGATTTTTTCGGATTTTGATACCAAAATATAGATATTTCTTCCATGAAAGCGGTACCCACTATTATTGAAACAGTATGTTGTATGTTTAAGTATACAAGTTACAAGTTACAACCACGGTTTAAGATATAGGTATATCTTAAACCGTGGTTACAACTATAGAGTAAACCGTATTTCACCATGTACTTTATAATTATATATAACAAATGCTCCATTACGTAAACGTATATCATATTTTTCATTCGTTTTAATTATAAAGGTACATAAAACTTTGAAAATTTGGTCTTTTTAGTCAGTAGTGTGTTCTTTATAACTGTTCTTGAATTTTGGATTCCGAGTGGTGCGTTTTATGATTTGTAGGTAAGTACCTATTTCAGTATTTGTAACAATGCGAGTTTTTTTCGTATATTATATAGGTATTTTGGAGCAGTAAAAATGATTCAATCTTTAACTCTTGTGGTAATTTCTGGTAGCATCTTCGGTATAGTTGCTACTTTTGAAGAACCAAAAGTAAATAATTCCAATACTTTTCAAAATATTCGGAAATCATTTAAAAGAAAAACGGAAATATTTACGCATAACCGGTTTTTTACAAAATCTATTTTGTCATTTCATTGTAATTCAAATAATATTAAAAATCATGGATTATTGATATTTTCGACAAAACTATATATT